ATTTGGTATGAAAAATTGTCTTTTTCTTATTAGATTATCTGCAGCAAGATAATTAGCATCTCTGAGCATCAGTTTCTCATCTCCTAAGTAGATTTCAAAAGATGGTTAATGCTTCAGACTCTGATAATGTTCTCATTTCCAAAGCTGCCTCATATCACTATTAACCAAGGGAGACACACTTAAGAATTAAGTAATACAAGTTCTGTTTCCCCAGAATCACAGCAGTGAAGCAGTTCCCTCATGTTTAATTTTCAGTATGTTGTCCTTCCCTTTATTAAACCTTTGCTAATTGCTTGCCAACTGAAGGGTTGTGACATCTCATAGGAAATAAGGAGTTTGAAAAGGGACATTAAATATGCAGTTTAAAAAGAGTAAATAAAATATCTAAGTAGCACTACCTTCTAAATTAAATCTGAGGACTCTAAATGACAAACTTTCTCCAGTAGAAAAGAACTCTCTCAAATAACTTTCTTTACCTGTCTGAGGAATACTGTTGAAAGCATCGTGGCCTTCTGGGGCTTATTCTCCTCTATGTTTTAAGGTTTGACATTTGAACCACTTTTTAGATTTTGGCACCAGCCATTTTGTGATTGAAATTTAATTTATTTTTCAAAAAATGCTTCTTCCTAGCTTATTTTAGCAAATTTCAGCAAGATTTCTAGCCTTGTCACACAATATTGCGTTGTTTAAGGGTATGAGTCCTAGCTGCTACTCTTGTGTCTCTGTTATCTCCTTTCTTCACTCAACCATACACCAGCTTACATAGTCTTAAAAATGAGAGCAATAATTATTGCCAAATGATTGGACTAAACTAAAGATCTAAACTAAGAAACAGAAAGATCGTTGATTTTAATCTTTTAGTGTACAAATAGCCATGGGATTTCAAAACTGCTCCCAACAAAAATATAAGAAAAGATTTCTATTAATAGGCCACTAATAATACATAAGGTATATAAACACGACTCCACATTTATACATCAAGACAGCACATCTGCATAAAATCTCATCTTTATTGGGAGGCAGAGGCGGGTGGATCAGGAGGTCAAGAAATCGAGACCATCCTGGTCAACATGGTGAAACCCCGTCTCTAATAAAAATACAAAAAATTAGCTGGGCATGGTGGCACATACCTGTAATCCCAGCTACTCAGCAGGCTGAGGCAGGAGAATTGCTTGAACCCAGGAGGTGGAGGTTGCAGTGAGCCGAGATTGTGCCATTGCACTCCAGCCTGGGTAACAAGAGCGAAACTCCATCTCAAAAAAACAGAAATGTCATCTTTAGCCTCTCTCCGCATGTAAAGAGACAGCAGTTAAACAGCAATAAGTGTTTCCTTTCCTCTCCATTCTGACACACACATATAAACACACTGCTGCATTATTGTGGTGAGGTAGGATTATAGGGAAATTTTACAAAAGGATAAGAAATTTGGTGTGGCTTTGGAAAAGAGAATCAGAGATCTACTCTTTCATTTGTATTGATTTGAAAGGCATGAGAAATCAAGGAAGCAAACATGAGCCAGCATCTAATTCTGGCTAATAGACAGAAATAGGACTCTTAGGAAAAGTGAACATCCTCCAATACCACCATTAGAGATTAATTAAAGTCTAATTATTATATTTAAAACAAAACTGTTGATTATGCTTCAGTATCCCATTGTTCATCCTTATGTATGGTATTTCAGCTACATTTTGGCTAAGCAGACTATAAGGACTATGTAAGTAACTATATTTATATTATTGTTTCTTTGGGAAGACACTGTGAGTTCTAAACAATAGCATAATCAGGAGTTCAGGTGCACATCCCATGTGTAAGTTGAGGGACAGTATGTGTATGTGTATATACCTGTGCCTGCCTTTATGTGTCTCTGGCATTGTGTCCTTAGGGAAGATGTCACAGCAGGTTCATAACAAAGGAAGTTATTTCAGAAATGGCCATAATGACCTTGTGGAAGTTCAGAGGACCATTTCAAACTAATCCGAGCCAAGACCATTTTTTTGTTAGCATCCTTGAAAGCAGAAAAATAGCAATGTAAATGTCAAGATGTTTCTGCCTTTAACCAAGAATAAAAAAAGAAAACAATCCACTAAAAGTACTTTTCAAACACATAAGCTCCCAAAACTTTGCTTTTGAAAGATGTTAGAACCAGTTTATATTTAGGCAAGCAGTGACATGAAACAGAACTATTAAACACATTTCTCAGGTATTATATGATCAGTTTCCAGCTACATATTCAGTACATACATAATTTTAAGAGGTTGAAACCCAAACCCCCCAAATCATTTCAGAATAACAGTGATCTCATTATATAGTTTTCATTGTGTTTTAATCAGAGTTAGTTATGTAAGTCCTAATAGAACCTTGTGTTCCGTGTTTGATTGGGATAATGACTACCTTGTTCGGGTTGTACTTTCTTTTAGTGAGGTGTGGGTGGTCTGGTTGGAAGTAAAATCCCACCATTGTTTCTCTTGTCATTAATTCTATCAGCAATGCCTCTGATTTCTTTAGACTATGAAAAATAAGTAGTGATTAAGAATTACCATAATGCTTTAAAAAATTTTTAACAGCGACCACTTACACAAAAGAATCTATGTATGAATACAAAATTTGATAATCTTTAGAGTGACAATGTAAAATTTCCAAAAGAGGATCGAAGACCTGGTTCATATACAAAATCTTTGTAATGTTGATCATTATAGACATTCCCTTTTACCCTTTTATGAATAAATGCATACATAAGTTTTATAATTATATGTTCCTTTCACATTTTTTAAGTTTCCACTTCTTAAAGGAGGAAAAAAGCCCCCAAATTTTAAGAAAAACCAGATTAATATACCAAAATTCAAGCCTCATTTTTTTCAATCACTCATTTTGTTGATGTTAAAACCAAAAAAAAAAAAAAAAACCATATTTCATTATAACAGACAACGTTCAAATAGAATTTGATTAGATATTTAAAAACTTGTCTTAAAAATTTCAATTGACAATGAAATAAGGATAATTATTCTGAGATCCAGCTTGCTAGTATCAACATATTAATCTTTGTGTGTACAACTGTTTGGATTTTATAAAAATGTCCCTTTCAGTTTTAAGGTATAGTCTCATTTAAAGTGAGAAAAAATTACTGTTGTCATATTTGAAAGTCAAGACCCATTGCCAGTCTGAGGGTGACTTTGTGATTTGATGGTACATTGAATAATTAAGACTAACAATAATAACAATACTTGCCATAGAGGATAATTTATTTGTATGAGACACTATGCTGCACATTTTTCATATATTATTTGTAACACTGCTAACAATCCTGCCACATTGGTCTCATTATTCCCTTTTTACATATAAGAAAACCAAGGCTCAGGAAAAGTTAACATACGGCAGAAATGGGATTTGAACCTAGTTTGTTTTCTCTAAAACCATTACTCTTTCTACTAGACAATACTGTATACATTTGATCCAAATTGTCCCTCATTTGCTCAGAAATCATCAATAAATTTAGCTAGATTTTAGTGTTAATATAGCCAAGTATGTATAGATTACGTTTTCCACATTTCAGAATTACATCTCCTAACCTTGATAAGAGAAAATTGCATCTGTGAGGGAGCAAATTTATCCCTACTTCTGGAAAAGAGATATGCCTTATTGTATTGAATCAATAAAATTATCTTGACTCCAAATAGTGCCTATCTCTTCATGTTTCCATAAATCTCAGATGTAATTTAAAAAGTGGAATATTTGTCTGCTAAATCTCATATAGTATAGTTAAAAATATTTTTACATAAATGGCAATATAGTATAGAGGAGGGGCTCGGTAGACTGGGAACTTAGAGTTGTGAGCTGAAGACCCAAAAGACTCCAGAATAAGTCACTTAACTTTCATGACATTTATTCTGGCAATCAATTAAGTAAGAAAAGATGAATCTAGATTCACCACTGAATTTCTAAGATAGTGAAAATATTAGTTGAGGAAGTATTTATAATTAATACAAATTGACTTCCTTTTCTAAAATGCATTTCAGGGAAATAATTATTTCAATGGGGGAAGAAAAATAATGAAATCTAGGTTCTCTTGGAAACCATGTTACATATTTTAGCATTTGTTTCTGTTTTATCTGCTATTTTATTTTTTATGTGTATAAATATCTTTCTGATTTAATATAAATCAAAGAGAATTAAGAGACAGAATTAAGAGAAAGGATCATGCTGAAGCACCTAATACCTCATTTTGCTGCATAATGAAACTAAAGTTTCCAATTGCTGTGTAAATCATGTGTTTAGTAGATGAAATGTTCAGGAATCATTTTGCACTTGACATTTTCTAGATTATGAATAGCAAAATTCTCTTCTTATAATAAGAAAGTAGACCTGTAAGCCACAAAATATATGGAGCAGGTATAGCATATTGAGATGATACACAAAGAAAGCAGTGGGAGCCAATAGGCATGATTCTATAAAGCACGTATTTGATCCTGTACACCATCTCAGTGGAATCCTTTGTTCAAATGAAAGCTTACATGAGCTACACAAGTTGACAAGTAAAGGGACATGAATGTTCCCTCTTTTCCCATAGTCACCTCAAAGGAGTACGTGGTTTTTCAGCCACTTCTCTTGATTGTGCTGCTTCACCAGTCTGTTTACTAAGAACACAAGACTACAACATTTTCAACGGATAAAAACAAGGTCTGTGAATTGATAATTGTACTTAGATTAGATCAACTTGGAAATTCATAAGGGCAATAATGGATGAAATGGGAAGTAGTCACCCCATAGTCTATAGTTAGAGCTAAATATAATGATTTAATGTATAATTGATATAATCCTAATAAAACTGCAACAAACGCTCGAATTACATATGGTGGGATTCTAGTATTTCCTCTAAGTCTACCATTATCTGACTAGTTTCGCTGAGAAAATTAGGAAGCAATCTAGGTATTCAAATTAGGAATAATTTTAATAGAATTATAAGTTTGTGCATTACAAGCATTCAAGATTTAAAAGTCAAGGAAGTGCTCACTTTAGTATCACATATATTAAAATTGAAATGATACAGAGATTAGTATGACCTTTGCACAAGGATGACATGAAAATTCATGAATTGTTCCATATTATTACAAACAAAAAATAATATTTTTTTTAAAGTTGAGGAAGCTGTAAGTTTCCTTAGCTTTCTTTAAGCTAAGTTTCATAGAATCAAGAACACTAGAACTGAAATAGCACCTTCAATGACAATACCAGCTGCCTGCGGTTCTCAAGCAGGCAACTTCCAGGATGCCTGCAAACATTGCTGAAGCAAGCAGATTCCGTTCTACTTCTGCCTTCCAAATCCTGCGTGATGACTGTTGCACATTTTTTTTTTTTTGAGACAGAGCCTAGTTCTAATTGCACAGGCTGGAGTGCAATGGCACAATCTCGACTCATTGAAACCACCGTCTCCTGCGTTCAAGTGATTCTCTTGCCTCAGCCTCTGGAGAAGCTGGGATTACAGGAGCCTGCTACCATGCCCGGCTAATTTTTTATATTTTTAGTAGAGATGGGGTTTCACTATGTTGGTCAGGCTAGTTTCGAGCTCCTGACCTCAGGCGATCCACATGCCTCTGCCTCCCAAAGTGCTGGGATTACCGGCGTGAGCCACCACGGCTGGTCCACTGTTGCAAATTTTATATCTTTTTCTGCACCTTGAAAAACATTTGTTGACTAATTTATCCAGAGAAACTTTCTTGGTCCTTTATGCTGTTTTCCCTGGATTTTAAAAGAACTGGGCCCTGTCTTGTGCCATAATTGGTCATGGTGGGGTTTTATTGGGGTTTTGTTGGCCCACAACAGGTTTTATTGGGTTGTTCCATTTATAATACATGTGTATGTCAAACAATGGTCAGGCTATCAGGATACTACCTATGGGAATTTTAAGAACAAAATAAAACTCATGTGCCGGCACTTATTACACTCAATGCATACCTCTGGTCTTCACAATAGCTTTTGTAACAATTGTTGGAGCTGCTACTTTCCCAGGCCTTTCTTGTTTCAAAGCCCTCACCCTCGGTGTACTCCCAGGAGCTCTATAAACAGTGTTTTGATCTACCAGGTGACTCATCTGGTGGATATTTTCCCCATTATATATGTAAGGGCCCTGAAGTTTAGAAAAATTAGTTTTTTTTCTTGAAAGCTACCAGAGATGGTAAAGTATGTAAATTGGTTAAGAGATTAAACCTGGTTGCAACCATTCTGAATTTTATTTTAAAAAACAAATTTGGCAGGGCACAGTAGTTCATGACTATAATCCCAGCATTTTGGGAGGCCGAGGTGGGTGGATCACCTGAGGTTGGGAATTCTAGGCCAGCCTGGCCAACATGGTGAAACCCCATTTCTACTAAAAATACTAAAAATTAGCCCGGTATAGTGGTACGCCCCTGTAGTCCCAGTTACTCCGGAGGCTGAGACATGAGAATCGCTTGAACCTGGGAGGTGGCGGTTGCAGTGAGCCGAGATTGCACCACTGCACTCCAGCCTAGGTGACAGAGTGAGGCTTTGTCTTAAAATAAAAAATGTAGCAGCTTCACAGACAGGAGTGGTATACAAAGAAGATTTAAAACTGAGTGTGAATAAAATGATCATATTGTGAGCCAAAAGAGAAGCAGAATATATTTTATCTTACACACACAAAAATGGACATTTAATATTTTGCTGTTACTTCTATCTAGACTATAAGATTAATGCCTATGGCTTGGGTGATACTTTGTTTCTTGCATTTCCTGATTCTCTTTCCAATCTTACTGCCTTTCTTACCTGTCAGTTAGAAGTTGATGCCACTTTTTCAAAATACTTATCTTAAAATTACTACTGATTCCATTATACTTATTAATTCAGTGAGTACATAGTGTCTGCCATATGCAGAACTGTACCAGGCACTGAGAATACAATGCCCAAAAATATAAATATCAATCTTACCCTTGTAGTCTTTACTTTCTATTGGAAAGAAACAGAGAATAAGCAGACAAAAGACCAAATAAATATGTAATCACAAACTTTAAAATTGTCTTGAAGGAAAGAAACATAACTTTTTCCTTTAAGGTAGCTTAATAGATTTGGGGGAGTAACTTGGTTTGGGATTGAAAAATGAAACAAGGACCTAGAGGCTGTAGAGAGGGGCTAAGTCTTATTTTCAGGCACTTTAATATCTGATTTCAAGTATTCTGTATATCTCTGATTGCTATGTAGAAAACAGATTTTAGAGGTAATGAAAGAAATGGAAAAATTAGAAATGACGTGTTCTTTTAATAACCTAGAATGTCAGTCAGGATTTTCCAGAGACACAGAACAGTAGGACAATAGGAGATGGCATGTGTGCATTTGTGTGTGCGTGTGTATGTGTGTGTGTGTCTGTGTATAATTTTAAGGAATTGGCTCGTATGACTGAGGAGGTTGGCAAGCCTGAAATCTGTAGACAAGGAAGGCAGACAACTCAGGGAAGAGTTGATGTTATAGTCTGGACCCCAATCTCTGTAGGTAGGCTGTGGCAGGCTATACATTTAGTTAGAATTTCTCTATTATATTAATAGTCTAAGGCTGAGTTCTTTTTTCTTCAGGATACATCATGTTTTGCTTTTGAGGCTTCCAACTGATTAGATGAAGCCTACCCACATTGTCAAGGGCAATCTCCTTTACTTAAAGTCAACTGATTATAAACATTAATTACCTCTGTAAGATTCCTTCACAGCAACATACGGACTAGTGTTTGAAGAAACAACTGGGCAGTATTGCCTCATTACGTTGACAGGTAAAATTAATCATCACAGAGATCATGTTGGTGGGGGTGGCAATGGAGAGAAGATTAATTTGTAACATTTTGGACATATAATCTACAAAAACTTGGTGATGGATTAAGGTATGAGGATAAAGGTAAGGGAAGAAATCAAGAATAACAGGTCTTTCTCATGAGCAGTCGATTTTAACAGCTGTGATGTACAAAGAATGAATCTTTCCTAAATGCAATTCTGCTGACTTCAGCTTAAATAATATGATTGACAAGGCAAGATTACTTTTGTTACTCACTTTAAATAACTAAATAATCTTGAGAAGAAATTCTGTTTGTATCTGTCTAGGTATATTTGCTAAATCCTAATGTAGACTATAAATGTGCCTTGCCTTTTCTTTCTCATCCAAAATAATTACATGCAAATAGTAATCTATTCTTTATGCAATAACGTGAAATGGGAAGAAACATAGCCAGATATTTTTGGAAGGGATAGCCTTCAAATGTGCCAGGTACCGTGTCTCCAATTTTTTTTTATTGCTAATCATAGTAGGTCTCATTTTCTAATCAAAGCTTACATATGCCACACCAGGGAGTTTGGATGATATGCTAACTCAATCTAATTTTACACAATATAATTCAAAAGCCAATAAAATATAGCCTTGTCAGACACAAAAGTTTTAGAGGGAGGAATGTAATATAGGCACCAAATGTTAAGTATCCTCTCTGCAGGTGGTTGTAGATTTCCTGTGTTTCCAATTTCTCTTTTCTTTTCTTAACCATGAAATTAAATAGACAGCTTTGAATAACTAAAGAATAGACATTTTTTCAAAGCTGATTCATAATGCCATCTTTTTTTCTAAAATACAATATCATATGGATGAATAGAAAATCATTTCAGACATAGAAAGTTAAGAATTAAAATGTAGTAAAATATTTTCTAGATTAACTACTAGAGGTTGATGAGTACCTATGCTTCATTTTATTTCAGAAAATGTTTACCCTTTTATTTTATATATTTGTTACTGTAAGTCGCAGCTGAAAGGCTAGATAATCCATAAAATCATATTTTCCAAAGTCAAATTATTAATTTTACATACAATTTTTATTAGGTTTAGACAGGTTCCATTTATCTTAACTCATTAGTATTATGTTAGCAGATTTTCTATGTAGATTAAGCTTTCTCTAAGTAAATCAAAAGTTTTGTGATTTCCATTTTATTTCATAAAATTTTAATATCTATTATATAAAAAGTATAACCTAAATGTATTAGTTTTCTGTGAATTCATAACAAGTTGCCATAAATTAGATGGCTTACAACAACAGAAATTTATTTCTTCCCAGTTCTGGAGGCCAGAAATCTGAACTCAGGAGGTCAGCAAGGCCACATTTTCTCTGGAGTCTAAGGGAGAGTCCATTCCCTGTGGCTGCTGGCTTTCCCTCGTTTGTGACCACGTCACTTCAATCTCAGTCTTACGAGGCCTTCTTTTCTTTGCGTATCTATTTAATCTCTCTCCATCTTTCTTTTACAAGGAGACTGATGATTGGATTTAGGGCACATTTACATAATACAGGATAATCTCCTTATATCAAAATCTTTAATCACACCTGTATTAGTCTTCTCATTCTGCTCATAAAGACATACCCGAGACTGAGTAATTTATAAAGGAGAAAAGCTTAATTACTCACAGGTCAGAATGCCTGGGGAGGCCTCAAGAAACTTAGCGTCATGGTCGAAGGGGAAGCAAACACATCCTTCTTCACATGGGAGCAGCAAGAATTGCCAAGCAATATCAACATCTGCAAAGACACTTTTTGCAAAGAAGGTAACATTTACAGGTCCTAGAAATTAAAATTTGGATGTATATTTGCAGTCAACATTCAGCCCACGACACCAGATAACGTAAGGAATATGGGTGTAGATTAGACAATGGCTTTTTTTCCTAACAGATGTGCCAGTTTATTAAGCTTTATTTTTGTTGTTGTTGTTGCAATCCCATCCTTGTATGCTATGTTTTGTGAACCTGGGACCAGGACTCTACAAACTGCATTTTCACTTTGCCAGCTGACTTCCTGATAAACTCTAATAAGAAGCAGTAAAAGAAAGCTGGAAGCCAGAAGGAGGATGAAAATATGCTTCTTTCTACTACAATTTGTTCCTGTTTTTGCTTTCTTTTCCTGTCACTGTCACCCTAACAATACTTCTTCACCTAAGTAGTGACAGTTCATTCTAGTAGTAGGAGTTCACACTGATTTTCACTTTTTCCAACATTAGCTAAATCTGACTCAAAATACTCATCAGAGACACTGGCATGAGTGGACTAGAGTCCTTCCTCATAGGTCTGGGGTCCAGTTACACAGGGTTCCATCTCTGATCTCAGGGACATCGGTTGTAGCTAAGCAGTGGCCCCTATTCAGAGGCCTGAGTTTCAACTTCACAGGATACTTCCTCTGAGCTTCTAAGCTTTAATAATTCCAAAATTTTCCGTTCTCCAACCCTAGGAATAGTAGATCCTTCCTGCCGTTGTATGTTAACCTTTGTGACATTTTAGGGTTGTGTTTCTTCCACAGCATTTTAGGGATTCCTCTGTGCCTTAGAATCTAAACTACATGTAAAGTATCTTCAACTATAATTGCCAAAAAGATGGAGAAACAGTTACAGAGAAACCAAGGAGTAAAAGGTTTGTGTTACCATTTTCTTCCACTGGGGTAAGATTTAGGCAGACATCATCGTAACAGGTAGATGGTACTTGAGCAGGATCTTATAATTAGTAGACTCCAGTCTTCAAAAGATAGTAATGAGAAAGTGGAAGGGCATTTCTCAAGAAAACCTTACCGAAAGGTATCAAAGTTGTTATGTGTCTCAAAATCTGCTTAAAACGTTTAACCTTCCCTTGTTGATTGAAGGTCATTAAGTTATGTATTTTTTTAGAATACAATAAAACCCTCAAAGAGAGTCACCTGCTTCTATGAAAAAAGTGACAAATATTCTGCTGCTGAAAACTAGAAAAAAATGAATAGTGTTTTGTTATTTTTTTTCATTTCTGTATTTTTATTGGTTGCTTCTAATTGATGTCATCGTGTCTAGCTGCTAGAACCTGATGATGATTGCTTCAGTTATTCAGTACTATTCTACCTCTCTTAAGGGACAGTCTGTTGGGCTTTGTGAGTTATTTGCCCTTCCAAGTGCTGTTTAAGGTTATTTTAATTTGATTGCAGTGTTCAGGAAGCATGACCTCAGAATAAGTAGGAATGTTCCTGCCCATAAATAAACTCATCTCGATTGTAGCTCTCTTCCTGGCACAGGAGAGTATAATTTTAACTTTTCATGTGGTTCAGGGGTATTCATCTTAAAGTGATAATCAGAAAAAAAGTTTGCTGAGAGATCTTTGGGATCTAAGTGTTTTTGCTTATAAGTCCAATATCTAGGGTTCCCTAACATAAACACGTTATAAGATCATAAAAAAATTGACAGTAAACACTAGCTATTTGCAACGAATTGCAAAGCAATAAGTTAACGTACATGAATTCTGTCAGTAAGATTGACTGAATTTGAGAATATTAAGCCAAGTATGTATCCACTCTTCCCCCATATAACGTATGTGGTTTATTGTGTCCACATAGTCTCTTTTCAGAGATTGTAAATTATACTGTTTATGAACTCTTGATGACTGAAACACAATTGGAGCTTGAAGGTCAAGGCAGCAAACTGCATCCTAAATTCCTATTTGTTGATGATGTATGGCACTGTTAGTAATACAGTCTGTGCTGCTACAGTTAAAGATCTGTCAGTGTTTCTAATATACATTATTATTTCAGGATTTGATAATATGACCACTTATCCTTATGCTGAATATATGATGAAAGGCCTCATCAGTGGGAAGGCATCTTCAAGTTTTTTAAACAACATTATATGATATTTATTTGCTTTCCACGTTATTAAAACTTTAATAAGATTTATGGTAAGCTAGACATAAACAGCACCTATATACAGGCACCATGCCGCCATAAGTATATGACTTATATTAATGCTGAGAAATAAACTGTTATTTCAGATTTCCATTTCATTACCTATATTCATTTTAAAAGATTAGAAAAAATATTTTTTAATCCTTATTTTCAAAAAATGCCTGGCTTATTTCTTCTCCCTTATCAGATGTCTATAAAGAGTATACAGAGCCTAACAATATAGTAAAGTACATATAATAAGTAGTTATAGCTTGACTCATTGGTTTGTTTGTAGGAAAAAATAATTCTGAATAATTTTTTAAGGAACTCAATTACCTGTTTAGTTAAAAAATAGCCTGTGGTTGTGTGAGCTGGATCTACAGAGCTATGCTGTTCAACGTGGTAGCCATTAGCAATGTGTGGTTACTGATAATGTGAAATGTACTTAGTGCAAATTAAGATGTTAAGTATAAGGTATACACTTGATTTTAAGACATACTACCAAAAAATAAAAATGAAGTGAAAATATAGCATTAATAATTTTTATATTGATTCACATTGAAATTATAATATTCAGTAAAGTAAATAATAAAACTACTTCATTTATTTCTTTTGTATTTAGTTTAATATACTACTAGAAAATGTAAAATTATACATGCAACTTACATTATAGTTCCACTGTATAGTGTTCCTGTAGATGCTCCCAAATATCCCACATTTTTTCTTATAGATGATACACACAATTGATTTGAATGGACTAAAAGTAGGATGTTTGGTTTATGATACATCCAAGATATGATCAGAAAGTAGTAAGGCCTTTCTTATAGAAATTCTCCATTACCCTAACCTTGGTTGGTGATGTTGTTACAGGTGTCTGTGATAGTGGATGGAAAACATAGAAGTGGGAAGATGTAAAAAGAAAAACTAAATATGGGAGTCCATAGGAGTGAGTGTCTGAGACATTAATTAAAACAAAACAAAATTCAAACTTAAAACATTTGTTGAATGTAAATCCATTCATCTGTGATACTGAGTATAGAAAAAGAATATTTTTATCCTTGAGTAATATTATTTTCAGATGAAATTACTTGTAGTAGCAATAGTTATTACTCAAAATTCACCTTATAGCTACTAAACTTCTGCAACTATAATCTGATTTCTCTAGAGCCTCATTAAAACAACAACAATGACAAAAACTCTGCTATTTGCATCATTCATAAACTCATTAATTCAGCAAACATTTATGTGCCTATTCTGTTGTGGGCATTATGTTTGAAACTAGATGATCCAAAGATAAAGTACTTTCTCTTTCAATTCTTATTAGATGTTTATTTTGCATTCTTTTGCTAATTTATAATCTCTGTTAGCCTGAATTTGTCTAAGTCTGTAATCATGGTTGAAATTGCTTTGGGCATCCCATTGGAAAGAATCACAGAAACCTAACCCCACTGTGTTATCATACATGGATACCACAAGAGCCAACAGAGAAACAATAATGTGTTAACATTACAGGAGTCCAAGTGGGCTAGAATAGTTGTAGCAGTGGTTAGACAGGACATCACCACACTTGTCGTATTAGTGTACAATAGCAAATAAATTATATTAATAGAATTGAGTTACAGAGTATTTTAACTGAGCCAGTGTTGGAGCTTTCTTTTTTCATCCCTTTATTATGTTTTACTGCGTGTATTCTTTTTTCCCTCAATCCTAAGATTAAAAGAGATTTTTTTCCCCAAAGTTAGCTTGGTCACCTCTAATTCTTGCCTCCTTCTTCTCCTCCTTATGACCTTACTCTATCAATTTTCAGAAATATTCTCACCTACGTTTCTATACATTATCAATAGTTTTGGTTGCTGCAGTAATTTCTGCCCTCTGATTTGAAAACATACTCCTAAGACCTATCTTAAAACAAATCAAGCATTCTCCCCTCCACTCTTTCATCTTACTGTACCCTCCTCCGTTTGACATACCTCCCCAATAGTCAGATCGCTTGCTGTCTTTCATCCTGCATGGCTCATTCAGTCTCACTCATTCATTCATTACAGAACCTGTAACATTGGCTCTCCTTCCCCTACCCAATATTCTAATTCTGTTATTGCCCTTACATTACCAGCAACTGCCATTCAGAAAACACAGTCTTTCCCCACTACCCGAGTCTTTATTTGCTTGGACCTCTCTGACCATTTCCTTTTTGCAAACTATTGATTATCATGCTTAGTAAAGTGAATGCAACTTAAGATCTGTCTTCAACTACTTAATTTGATTTTAGCAGATTTCTCCTTTTATTTACCTGTCGCATTCCCTTTAAATTAAGAAACAGTTATCCCAATGTTTTCATCTGGAAGATTGCACTTTGATTCCAACTTTGCTTAAGAAAAATTTTTCAAGAAATCGTATAGAAAATCTGTCAATTATTAAATCTCAATTAGTGATGTTTTTTCTTCTATCAAAAGAGGCAGACATTTAACAGAGATACAGTGGAGAAGAAGGGAATACGATCAGAGACTTTGAGGCACATACCTGAAGGTTATATTCTTTATTTTTATATTTTTGATTTTGGAACAATATCTTTATTATGCTCAGGAAATGCCTGCTGGTTCAACCGTAAATTGTTGCATTAAAAGAGACACAGATTTAAGTGTTTAGGGTGGGTGGGCGAGTGCTTAGTGTCTGTAATAAACTGACTCCCTTGTTAGAAAACGTTCTCAGGCAACTATCTCATACTAACTAACTTGACTTTGAAAGGGAACCAGTGTCATGAGATATGGTGGAAAATGTATTTGCTGTCTTCTTATTGATGAAGCTGTGAATTTTTTGTCAGTTTGGGGTTTGTTACACTCTGGCAAGTTTGAAAAGGTCTATTTTATTGTTTCTTTCAGAAGCTTTTTCTTCTGTCATCCATGAGTTTCAAATTTAGCTCCTGTTGGCATGTTGTTTTAAAATAAATCCCAAAGCAGTTAAAATATTGAAATCAAAACCCTTTCAATAATGTAGTTTCCTAAATCTTGATTCTACTACTCAAGGGCCATGTGATGTTAAACAAGCTAATCTCTCTGAACCCAGTTTCTTTCTCTAGCAAGTGGAAATAATATCAGTACCTATGACATTAAACTGTTTTGAGGATTATATGCATTAAAATATGCAAAATGCTTAGAATATGGGTAAGCATATGTCAAATGTTCAAGTATTCACAGTTACTACTTTTATCACTATTAGTTTATGCAATCAAATTTATTCAGTATCTGCATTTTAGAAACCTGGAGAAATACACAATGAACAAGGAACTCCTGTCCTTGAGGAGCAACAAGTATGTGTCAAGAGTCACAAGGGCGTGTGACTAGTGCTGTGATAAAACCATCAGCCTCTGTGGTTGCATTCAGAATAAATCAACAAACTCCGCCTAGGGTTTGTGACAAAACATGAGTAGTTGGATTCTGAACTGTGTCAAATTAGTGCTATAGTTTATCCACACCACAAAAGTCTTTGCTTTCATCAGTATCTCTGAGAGTCAGTAGCTGGATCTCCTCCCATACTCCAAATCAGAAAATATAGAACTTTTCCTCAATAATTTACCATGATCCTTTAAAAATTACGAAGAATTTGCTGCTCTCAACCTACTATGAACTTCCAGAGACATTCTCTCTAATAGTTTAAAATACATTTAGTATAATGTTTTCATATGTAGTCTGTGTATCTGTGTGTATGCCACTACTATTGGCTAATTATTCTGACCTGCATACACCTTTTAAAATAATCTTCCTTCTTTGTGACTAACATATGTCTGGCTAGAAAACTAATACCTTCCTATCTAAAGCAATCTAAAGTCTAAGGTTATTTGATGGGGTCGAATTACTACAGATGTGGAGGAAGGGAGTCATTTTCTGTGAAGCACAGACCAGAGTGCCACATAGATTTTTCCTGGTTTGGCCAGAAGAATATATACAGACAAAAGTAGCACTAGGGAAGTCGAGTTGTTACAGGAAAAGGGAATGGGTGGCATTTTCAATTAGTTAATGGCATGGTCAAATATAAAAGCACAGCTGGTTTATTTGTATAGACTCTTACAAGGCATTGTAACCGAGTTTCTTCTTGGATATTGTGGGTTCTTGGCCTCCAAACTCTTAAAGAATAAGCGGTGGGGCCGCTGCAGTTGCGCCATATGCTCATAAAAGTAAATATCGGATCCAAGAAGTGTTGTAGAAAGGATATTTTATTTAGGTAGAGAAAAGAGAAGGAAAGGAGAAGAAGAGAAAGACTTCCACGAAGAGTGTGGAAGGGGATTCCAGAGGGGAAAATCCCGGAGGGAGCTCCCACCATGTGGGAGGGGATTCCAGAATGCTGGAAATCCGGCGTGGGTGAAGGAGCAGGGGAATTTATCCTGGGAGAAATCCTCACCTTCCCAAGTTCCTCTGGCCAATGAAAGGAGTTCCTTGGAACTTCCACTGGAGTGATTGACTTTTAGTTTCTTCCCGCACCCACGAAATTCAAACATAAACCATTAAGACAGCAAACTGACACAAGAACAGAAAATCAAACACCGCATGTTCTCACTCATAGGCAGGTGTTGAACAATGAGAACACATGGACACAGGGAGGGGAGCATCACACGCTGGGGTCTGTTGGGGGAAATAGGGGAGGGACAGCCAGTGGTGGGGAGTTCGGGAGGGATAGCATGGGGAGAAATGCCAGATATAGGTGATGGGGAGGAAGGCAGCAAATCACGCTGCCATGTGTGTACCTATGCAACAACCTTGCATGTTCTTCACATGTACCCCAAAACCTAAAATGCAATAAAAATAAATAAATAAATAAAACTGGATGAAGAAAGATGGGAGGGGGCAAGGTGCTGGGAAATTCTTGCCCTTAAAACCACGCCCCCTCATGGACCTGGAAAGAGAACACATTCCCTCAGCATGATATGTACTTGGCCTAGATGTGACCTATAGAAGTCGTCTCTCCTTTGTTACTGGAAAATTCCTTTTGGATGAACTCTTTCCTGAGAAGGAGAGGTCATCTGTTGGTCTCACAGTTCTGTGTTAATAACGACAAAATCAGTTGAGAACACGGGGCTGTGGGATTATGTGCCCAAGGAGGCAAAATGCAAACATCTCAAATAATATCATAATTTTCACAGACAAAGCTTCTTATTGTATATGCCAGGCACTGTGCTAAGCACTTTACATGTTACAGCTCATAATTATTATAAAAACTCTAGGTTGAAAGGACTGGTATTTCCCAATTTACAAGTGTGGAAGAAAAGTTTCAGAGTTAAATATCTTTTATGTGCTCCAGATCAGGGAGAGACAGAGTGGTGGTGGTGGGCCAGGATTCTTGTGTTGTGGGAGAAGGGAGGCAAAATTTATTCTCTACCCTCCTAGGGTTTCTTGTTAAGACTAAGATCTAAGGCAGATTAATGGGAGAAAAGCATATACATTTTAATTAGGAATTTTTACATATATATAAAAGCCATCACACAGACACACACACACAAAATGAAGACTCAAAGAAATGAAGTTGAATGCTTATATACTAGGCTGAACAAAGAATAGTAAATTGTGGAAAAGGGACAAGACAGGGGTGTGGGATAGGGCAGTGAATTGTGAAAAATTGACTAGAAAGATAAGATTGGCTGGTTAGGTCAACAAGATTTATTTGTGTAGATTTCTGTCAGCCTCCACTTCTCTAGTGGTGAGTATGTTTTTCACAAGGGAATTTAATCTCCTGCTTTCAGGAAGAAAAAGAAATTTCAGAGTGCCCTTCTTGTATCAGCTGTTTTTCAAATTTTTTTACTCTAAGTAACAAATATGCCAAAACAACATATTTGGGGACAGTGTATTTTGATCCCTTACATGGGAAACAGCATGAACTGTACACTTAAATGAACATATTTTTGATATTGGCCACTTAGTATTGTCTTCTTATTTTTCCCTCTCTGTTATTACCTTTTAGGTATAATTCATTTTTTTTTTCAAAATGTTTACTTCTTTAAAGTGTTCTTCCTACCTCAGTAAGGCAAAGAGTAATGTATTCTTTATAGCATTAAGCATACAAACCTAGGTGTTCAGGTGAACCTCACACTATGCATTCAAGTGGTTAAAGTCATATTGCTGTAAATAAAGTTTTATTTTGACAAAGCATATGTAATGCAAATTAAGATTTGGGAATACAATGAAAATTAAGGTTTCTTGAAATGAAAAGAATGTTATGGTAACTGGAGAATACCAAGACAGGCTGCTGTGGAAATTTTCTACAACCTGTAAGTAACACAAGGTTTTTTAACTTCACATATTTACTTTCATGTTTATAAACTATATTATTAGCCCTTTGTCTCTTAGAACAGAAATACATTGTTTAGTGTGGAATGTCTTTTATTCTTATTGATTTTTATTACTATAACATGTAACGTTTCATAGTATAATTAGTAGTTTACTTTTCCATTATATGATTTGAGGACGGGGCCAAGAAATTAGAATTTTTCCTCATAATCTAGTGTAGGACTGATTAAACACACCACACTGCACATAGTATGTTTATACGTATCACATATACAAGTTTACATATACATGTATTTTTACATAAATTACATACATATATACGCACACATCTCAAAAATGTACAGACAAATAGCAAATACTAAATTAGCAAGAATAAAAAAGAAATGGTTCCAAAATACTGTCAGACAAGAATTTTCTCTGAGCGGATGCTTTATGTGTTAATAAAACCACAGGAGGGCAAAGCTGGTATGGTTTGTCTTGAAAGCCTTTATTTATTCACAGCTGTTCAATAGTAGCAATAACGATTGTTATCACTGTACCTCATCTCCATTTGGAAAGTGAAAAACAATTTTCAAATTCCATTAAAAAAGATAAAGCAGAGTTTACCTTGCTGTTTAGAGTTGAATAGACATATTCAATGAAATCATGTTTTTAAACGTTAACATGTCGGTATTTTAAGAATAGGCATTATTGAAAATGTTATTTGATAAATATATCAATATCACAATTATTGGCTGTACTTTAAGGATT